TTCCTCAGGCATCCGGGGAGGGGGAGGGGGAGGAGAAGCAGAAGCAGAAAGGAAGCTAGAACTTTGACCAGGGAGTTCCTCAGGCATCCCCTTGACATTCAGGGCAGAGAAACTTAAGCACGCAGAATACTGGTTTTCTTTTTTATGTATTTAGTCCAGGTCCACAGGGCCTCACTACACAGATCCAACTCATAGTGACTCTCCTGTTTTCAGCCGCCCAAGCACTGGGATTATAGGCACACGCCCCCACGCCCAGCCTCAATTGCCCTCTCAGAGCGCCCATGGCGGGGGCGGCTCAATAACTACTTGCCTAACTTTCTGCTTTTCTTCCCCCTGGGATTTCATCCTTTGACTTCTTAAGGCAATGGCTTGGGTTTACAAAGTTTTTACAGAGTTAACCACTTTATTTAGAGAGTCTAACTGTGATCTAAGCATTGTGGTAAATGCTTTACGTTTATTATGCCATTGTGATACTCATAATCCTGTGCCATGGAGTCCCTAAGATCACCTCCACAGCCAGAGATTCCCTAGAAAAACTCATGTGACTCAGCATGAGTTGTGGTCATAACTAAGATTTATTCCAACTGTGTAGTAAGAATTTACTTCTGCATCATAAGGGAAAAGACTCAGCCCATGAATCAATATATAGTTGCAGATCTGGCCATTTTTTTCTTCCAGGCAAAATGTAGTCCTATGTTCACTGCCTGAAGTTCTGCCCACTCTCAAGATCTCCCTTTACCACACTGTTCTTGACAGAAGTCCAGAAAGGGGCTCTTGTGAGCCAGCTACCCACTTCGGGTTGGCGCCTGCATAGCATAACCATCAGAACGGCCCCAGCCTTCTTTTCCTCCACCAGTTGATAATGGGCACTCCATGAGATGACAAGTGCATGCTGGGAGCGAGAAGGCTATGGAGTACGAGCCATGGCCCCCAGGGCAACCTTCACATCACTTACCTGTGCCCTGATCTGCTCTGGCTTGGTCATGTACATGCCAGTTCCATTTAATGAGGGATTGTTGCTGTGCATGGACAACTTTTTGGCTTGATGGTCAGGTAGAACCCAAGTCACAATGGGTAACTCAGACTGCACAGTAACCTAACATCCCCTACTCAGCCGTTCAGTTTCCAGTAAGGCCCAGGAGCAGTCCAGGAGCTGTTTTTCAGAGGGAGAATAGTTGTCTGCAGATGACAGCATAGCCTTGTTCCAAAATCCTAAAGGCCTCCACTGCGTGCACCTACGGGAGCCTGCCAGAGACTCCAGACAGCATGTGTGTCTGCCACCAACACCCTAAGTACCCTTGAGTCTGCTGGAGCATATGTCCCCAGTGCCAGAGCAGCCTGGACCTGTTGTACAGCCTTCTCTTGGTCTGGGCCCCACTCAGCACTAGCACCTTTCTGAGTCACTCAGTACATGGGTCAGAGTAAAACATCTAATGGAGGAATGTGTTGCTTCCGAAGCCCAAATGGGCCCACCAGGCAGCTGTGCCTCCCTTGCCTCTAGGGAGAGCCAAATCTTCTCTAGCTTTCACATCAGAGGTGATTGCTCTGGTTGCCTGCACCCCTGGACCTCTGGAGATCTGGTGATGGTAGAGGAACCTTGACTTTTAGTTGTATTTATTTCCCATCCTTGCATTGGCAAATGCTTCACTAACAACTCCAGAGTGAGTGCTACCTCCCACTTCCTTGGTCCAGTCAGTATAACATAAGCGATGTAATGGGTTGTGTGATGAATTAATGTTAAACTAATGTGAAAAATTTATTCTGCTCAACTTTCTGTGACCCTGCTTCCTTGTAAGACTGCAAGGAGACTCAGTGTACGGTCGATAAACCATCAACAGACTGAGAGTTCCCAGAATAGACCTATAAAATAAATCAAATTAAAGGTCGACATGTTGCTAACTACAAAATGACTAAGGTGTTGCTAACCAACTGAAAAGCGTTGCTGTGGTAGTCAAGACCACGTGCACGCAGATGTACGTTAAATGAGAACTAAACAACGCTCCCAGAAAACGTGTATGCTGAGTAATGGTCACGCTGTCCCTAAAGGTACTGTTCTATGTTAAATGACAAATTTGTTTGCCAAACAGGATACAGTTTCTAGCTTTAAAACCTCTATGCTTCTAAGGCTCCTGGCCATTTGTGGTCTCCTGCATGAGTGTTATGAAGTAGTCCTGGGCTAGGAAATAAAAGGCTCTTAAATTTTAATATTGGATTCTGGTCTGTTTTCTATGTTGAGAACCCATAACATCTGGGGGCTCTTTTGGGATCCCACTAACTGGAATCAAATAGAAACCAGTTTTTTGTTTTTTTTTTTTTTTCAGAGAACTGTAATCCAGGGAGATTCTTCAGCCCTGAACTTATACAGGTCTCTGAAAGTTTTAAAATTCTTTGTTGATTTGGACAATACGAGCCATTTGGAACCTCTTGCTGGTAAGAGACCTCTTGTTCTGTTGGGGCGCCCCTTGGTGAGTCACAGGAGGAGTTGGACACAACATAAATCCCCTGGACTCTGCTCTGTTCTACGATGGTGGGCCAGAGCATTGGATTTGTCTTTGGTTTTATTTTGTCTTTGTTCCTTGTCTGTTGGTTGTGTCATTTTGCAATTATGGGTCAGACCACTCTGCCTCTTTGTCACCATTGCAATGTATTCTTGATCATTTCCAGGATTTCAGACAATAAGCCTTAGGATCCCAAAGGGCAAGATGCACCTACAAAAGGCCCTCCTGGCCTCTGCCTGTGAGCCATTCTTGGGTGGTGTTGGCTCCACAAGCTGATTTCAGCTAACTACACCAAAGTGGCTGAAGGAACAGAATGCCATGGTGTGGAAAGAGATTACAGACCTTACTCGACCTAAGTAAAACTTGACCGGCTTTTGTTCTTCTCTCGAGGCTGATGTTGGTGGGCCCTAACTTGCAGATGTTGGAGTTGTGTCAATCTATCTTAGATGAGTATTCCCGAGATACTGTTGACAAGATGTTTCTCTCACTGAGAGAGTCTGTTTTCTCATAGATAAATGTACCTGGATTCATTTTTGTTCATGCTGGAGGCCCCATGAGGTTTATTTTCCTCATTTGCTTTGAATTTGTTTCAGGAGGAACCCTGTGTTGCCTTACCAGGGAATGTATGGAATGTTGGCAGTTTGTTTTGGTTTGAAATCCAACCAAGAGTTTAAATTAGTTAAAAAAAAAAAAGAAACCAAATTTTCCTGGGCTGTTGGTGTCCATTTGTGGGTAGCCACCAAGTCCATAGCTTGGGATGGGACAATGGTATTAGTTCAGTTCTTCTTTCCCTTCTTGCCCTTTGTGATAGTCTACCTGGAAATGCAGCAGGGCGCAGCCCTAGCTTGGTTGCCCCATTGCATTGCGGTTATTGCCACAGTGTCAAATTACATTAGTCTTGGGCTTCTACTGTGTGGATCAAGAGGGGACACTGCTGGGACCTTTGTTATGGCTGGAACCGTACAGGGCAAACCGACTGTCCTGGGCTGCATGGTTCATAGTTTTGATGGGTCCCAGGATAAAGGTGTGGAGTGCTTTAGGAT